CGTGCGCCTGGCCAATTGGCGGGGCCCACAGTCCCCTCTCTTGCCCTCACTCCAACCCCCTATAAAACCCCCTGTCCCATCAGGCTTCGGTCTCTCTGCCACCTGCTGCTATGCCAGTAAGGGGGTCAGGGGAGCCAGACCTAGGTTTGAAATAAATGACTCTGCTTTTGCATCGGACTCGCTGGCTCCCTGGTGGGCTCTTGGGAACCTTGAAATCTGGGCACAACAGTCTAGATGTTCTCTTCAGGGCAAGGGGAGTCACTGGAGGCCTTGAAGGCAGGAGAGACGCCGCCTGATAGAACAACAATAGCAGGACCACAAGAACAGGACCCTACCTGCCTCAGAGGGGAGGCGCCTCCGAGGAGAGCCCTGCCCGGCGCCAGCCCGCCTGCCCGCGGGCGGCCTCTGCCATCGGCTCTGAAGTCCGACAGCCTGGATGGGACTCCGTCCCCCTTGACAGTGTCCCAGCGCGTTTCTGAGGTGTTTCCTCACCTGCGAATCGAAGGTGCTACCTCGGATCTTACAGGGTAACAGGCGGTTCTAACAAAACCCCAGCACAAAGGCCCAGCGTAGGCCCAGCGCACAGCGGGTGCGCAGCTGGTCAACCCACCTCTCTGGCCCTGTCCTCCAGCACCTCCTGACCCACCCAGCGCAGAGAGAAGGATGAGCATCAGGGTCAGAGTTCTTTCTTCCTCAGTTGCCTTTAAGCCAAAAACTCTCTCTGTGGCCTCATAAGCCCTGGCATCGGTGTCTTCCTGGGCCGACATGCCCCCGGCTGCTGTGCAGGTGGCGGCCGGCCTGCCCGTCTTGGGGCCCCGGAGCAGAGCCATCTGGCCCCCTGTCACTGGCACCTGAGTAAGAGCCCTGCTTCTTCCCGGTCCCAGTTCTGTTGGCTATGAAATGGCCCCCAGCCCCCAGCCCCCTCCGAGACTAATCCCAGCGAGTCTTCGTGAGAACAACTTGGTGAGGGGGGAGGGCCCCGGCCAGGGTCACCAGGACGTCTCCCCCTTCCACCTTGCAAACGTGAAAATAAAGGGCATTTGTTCAAAGCGAGAGGCAACAAGCATTTATTTGAGATCAGGAAGAGCAGCTTCGGGGAGGCTCTGGCCCAGGAGGAGGCCCTGGTGCTCTGACACCAGGGCAGGTGTTTGTGAGAAAGGGAGGGGACAGCGCCACGGAGGAAGCATCTGTCGTGCAGGTCACGCGCACAGTGATGCTGGTCTAAATGATGCTCTCCCTGCAGCCGGGCAGTCATCAGCCCAGTGGTCAGAACTGCTTTCTTGTTCTCCTCCCAGTTTTGGGGAAACAAGGTTCTTGGGCCCAGTCAGTCCAAAGAAGCGTTTGCCCCATTCTCGAACCTTCCGCGGCCTGAGCATCGGAGGGCAGGCCGCTCCTCTGGCCCCGCAGCTCCACCTCCCTTTTGAAGTGGTTCCGTTTATATTCTTTACAATCTCATGTTCATTCTGGCCTTTCTGCTATGAATTCCCCCAGAATTCTTGGTCACAAGCAACAGAAGTGACTGTCCTCCCAGGTGAAGGGATTTCCTGGCTCAGTCTCAGGGCTCGTCGCATGGACAGAACGTTCCAGCTCTGAGGAGGCCGGGGGAGGGCCTGGCATCTGGCCAGGACTCTGCCATGGCCCTTGCCCCACATGTTACACTTCAGAGTCCCAGGCAGGAGCGGCCTATTGGACAAACCTGAGTCTGGTTCATTTCGCTTCCACAGTGGGAACCAGGACAGTGTCCACCCAGGATTCCATACGGGAGGCTCCCTCCTGAATGAGAAGGGGTTGGAGGTTGTGTAGCCATCCCACCCAACACACACATTCCCTATACCTCCCTCTCTGCCTGTAAACTCCTACTCATCCCTCAAAACTCATTTTCACCGGCTCTGCCTTTGCAGGGTTCTTCTATTGGTCACTCCTTCTTCAGGGTTCCCACAGTCCCTCCCCCCTCTCCACCCCAGTCACACCGGCCGCCATGTCCACGTGGAAGTCTGTGTCCTGTACCAGACTCTGCTCCTGGGGGCAGAGGCTGAGCATTAGTTAAGCGGCAGGCACGGTCTCGCACACTCTGTGGTGAACGCATTGCATTTTCACAGCAGCTGTGGGAGCTGGGTCCTATGGCCTCTCCCATTTACACAGGACGAAAGCCAGGCAGAGAGACGCTGGGCAATGTGTCCGAATCACAGAGCCGGAGGGGGCAGAACCAGGCTGCCTGGCTCTAGGGCTGGCGACTGCCCCATCCAGGGTAGGGTCTGGTCACTGAGCTCATTCCCTCCTCCCCCCTTCCCTCCCCCTGAGTGGGTTAATCAGGCTAAGTTAAAAGCTCCGCATTATTCAAAAAATTTTTAAATTTTATTGTTGACATTATTACAGATGCCCCCCCATTTTACCCCCCTTTGCCCACCTCCACTCAGCCCCCACCCCCCACTGTT